ATCACCTCTCTCTTTACTAGTGTTTGAAAGTTAGGTTAGTTAACCGGGAAATAACCGGACCTAACCGCAACACTAACCTAATCGCAGTTAGGGTTAGTTGATTTCGAAAATGGAATAACCGGTTATAACTCAGTTCCTCGACCTCCTTCGAGAAACGCTACCACCACACCAGCAGGTGGAAGCATTATCTCAAGCAACATGCCCTCGTCAGCGCCCATTGCTCCTTCGGCCAATGTGCGACCTTCGATATTGCGTTCTCCTTCAAAGAATGTCCCAGCTTCTGTGAACCCCTCAAGTACTCCGCCTTCTGTTCCTCGTCCTCCTTCCCGAAACGCGACTACCACGACAAGTGTTGTTCCTATAAACAACCCAGTCCCGTCTGTTCCTCCTTTGCCAAAACCCTTTTCTTCAGTGTCGAGAACTCCCTCAAGGAAAGCGCCCCCCTCGATCCCTCATGCACCTCCAAGGCAGGAATCTTATTCGACTACCAATTCTCCTAAAAACAATGCCTCTTCTTCAGTTGCTGTTCCTTTGGAACGAAAGGTCGCCCCTCCGGTAATCGCTCCGTCCGAAAGCACGAAACCTACCATGGCAGTTGCAACTCCGATTGTTCCCCTACAAGACGCCTCTTCCGTGCCGACCAAAGCGGGATCGCTACCGCCGAAGGCTCCCGTCAAATCAGCCACAATGGGGACAGAGGCATATACAAATCTTCCAGAACGGCGCGATTCGAGGCGGTTGCAGCGTCGGCGTACCCACGCTCTTGGGGTACGAGATGCACCTGAGGAAGGCATTTTAGGTCGATACTTCGCAAAAGCAATGGAGGTTGGGGTGGTAGCTACTGTCACGAATGCATGGGAAGATCTGAATAGATGGTGGTCCGCATAGAAGGCCAGTACCGCGGTAAACATAAATTTTTAGAGGCCACTTGTCAATGTTTTTGTATGTACGAGTATGTTACAATGTATGTGCTTATTTGCTAGAAGCCTTTAGGCTCCTCCTCCCCAACTTCATCATGCCTCCATCGTCAGAACAGAATTTCCGCAACAATTTATCCCAATTTCGGTGGGCCCGAGGCGCCACCGATGACTCTCAGCAGCAGCAGCCAGCCCCTCAAGCCGCAAATCCATTTTCTCGTTTCTACAACGCCGTCGCCGGAGACTACATCCCACTGCGGTCCAGTGAGCAATCCAACGAGGAGGAGGCATGGTTTGCATTGTCGAGATGGGAGCGGTGTGTAGCTATCCCTATACTTGCACTCCACCATTGACGGTGGACGCCTGCTAGGTTGTTGGGTTTTGGCGTATGCTTAATTGGTGCTGCGGTCTGCTTCTTTGTCGCGTTCCTAACACTTCCATTCCTTGCCATTCGGTGAGCACTTCTCCCTATCTCGCCAGCTTTTCTATTCTAATACTTTACCCTTTAGCCCAGCAAAATTCGCCCTCGCCTTTAGGTAAAATTTGAAGCAATGTCTCTGACAGATGAAGTATTGATGCGCGCCCTCAGCTTGGGTAGTCTGCTCGTCATGTTCGGGTCAGTTAACTTTATATCATGAGAGCATTGATGCTCACACACATTTCAGATTTTCTGTTTTAGTAGGTCCTATAAACCACATAAAACACCTCGTGTCCAAGGAGCGACTACCATTCTCTGCTGTTTATTTCGGGAGTCTTGGACTGACGTCATATTTTTCACTTGGCGTATGTATCACCATTCTTGATTTCAATTATTTATTGACCTTTCTCGAATGTCAGGCTCATCCATGGCTTGGTTCTTTGGTGGTCCAGGTATGTCGTGGTCAACGAATCGGCCTTTCCTTATTTATTTTTGCAATGATAGGTGGTTGCTCTCGTTTCATGTGCTAGCGTACTTCCCAGGAGGGACACAGACGCTGCGGATGGGTGGCTCGTTGGCGCTACGGGGCGCTGGAAGTCTTTTACCCAGGTAGTTGTGTACGTTCTGACCAAACTGCATGTATGAAGCAGGCTTGCTCATCTAATTTATGATATCCATATTATGCCCGCGGAGGAGCCTTATCATCAAAACAAGGATGTTTTAGTGCTCCGAAATTGAGAAATAAATAAACGTTGAAGAATTTTTAGATCCGTACGGTACAATCATCAGCTTCTAACCACCTGCCCGACCTTGCACTGTTTCATCGTGCAATCCAGCACTATCCCGTAACCTGCGACACATTATTTCAATGTAACCCTGGTTGCCTTGCCAATCTTGCCCAAATGACTCGTAATCCTACATTCAATGTTATATTCACGAGCATGCCCACCACATAGGTCGAACGTACCAAATCGAGTGAAGCCAGCCGTTCCAACGCCGGTGCAAGTTTCGCCCCCATCTCAGCTCGAAAAGCTTCCGGTTCAGCAGTAGCCAAGAGTCGCATCGCGTTCGACACTGATACTTTGACTGGCATGGCATTCATGTACCGTGGTTGAGAGTAGTACTCTAGATGACGCCAGATCAGGAGAAGGAGCATTTCCGTCGTGTCTGTGGGTGGTTGGTTAACTCCGAGAATGTCAGTCTTACAAGAGCGACCTTACCAAGCAGAACTTTAGCGTCCATCCGAGCAATGCGTTGCATACGCTCGAATTCTTGACATATTAAAACCCGTTCTTGCTCGACATCAAGGTCCTGTAAAAGGGACTAGCCGTTATTGAATTGTTCACTACCAATGATCACATATGAATTCCAGATTATTTAGAAAAGAAAAGAATTCATGCTTGAGCAGAGCAATGCTGGACCGAAGTATTAAAGTAATAGAGAGTATCTATGAGGTGGAGGCTATCGAGAATTTCGAGAGGGTGACATGTTTTCGTCATTGAACAAATCCGAGTCAGCAGAGCTCTCTGACTCGAGCCTCTTGCGTTTGGCCACTCTGTTAGCCTTTGCTGGTGTCGGAGTTGTTGGTGTTGGTGTTGGTGATTCAGATGCCTTCCGGTGGTAGCTCAAAAGCCCTCTATAGATGTAGAGCTGGGCATGGCTTGCAGGGTGTGTTCCTGTGGGCACCAGTGCTCCTGACCGATGATGCAGTTCGCCACAAATCCTAAAAACAGGAGGTCCTCGTCCCTGGTTGACAGAATGATCCTCGTCGACACCGAGTGAAGTGAACGATAAGGCCCGGTTATATTTCCAGATCTCGTCCTGAAATGTGGTCGCATCGCAGCCCCCAGTGGTGAGGAACCGTCGAAGAGGTTCTGGCGGGGCTTCAAGGGCCAGAAGCTGGACCTTGCCTTCAATGCAGCACATTCCAAACTTTGGCGAGCGCTTCGAACTGGCAGCAAGCTTTTCTGCGAGCCAGTGAAGAGCGCCACAATGAGGACAGGGGATGTCCATGCGGCCCAAGTCATGTCGTTGGGGTGGATCCTGGTACGGTCAGCGAGCTGCTAGGAACAGTTGCCGTGATCTTCCTCGTTGTGACATTGTTCGTGTAGTGGTTCTCCGAGCACCATTTGCTGGATGAGCAGGAATGAAGCCATTAGATACAGAGTAAAAAATGATCTATTGCTATTGACATACATTCTGCCTGACCTGGCTGCTCAATGGTTCGTAAATACACGCCATGGTCTTGTTGATTGTCTAGAGGAAGCATTAGATATAGAGAAGATGAAATGAAACAATGACGTATAGACATACCTTCTTCTCTCTGTCTCGTTCCCGAGCTCGACAACGTTGTTGAGCAAGGGATCTGGCATTTGAATGTTTAGTTTGTGTAGGAGGAGTGGGTTGTGGATAGATCTAGCATTTGAGGCAGTTACAGGTTGAGTAGCAGAAGGTGTGGGGAGTGGATATCTTCCAGAGCCTGCACAACGCGGGGCCTTTCTTCTCGCTCCCGAGCTTGACGCGAGACCTTTCTTCTCGTTCCCGAGCTCGACAACGTTGTTGACCGATAGATCTAGCATTTGAGGCAGTTACAGGTTGAGTAGCAGAAGGTGTGGGGAGTGGATATCTTCCAGAGCCTGCACAACGCGGGGCCTTTCTTCTCGCTCCCGAGCTTGACAACATTGCTGAGCAAGGGATGTGGTATGTGGTGTAGCTTACAAATCCGGGGTGGAAACATGGCCAAGCTGGATTGAGGGCTGTGCAAGACGAAGTTGCCTCGGTGTCAGCGGTTGATAGGATTCCCCACAGGAGAAACTCAAGTTGGAGCTTGGGGTTCATGGGCATAGGGCCAACTCTCTTGAGATGGACCGCAACGTGCAGGTGTCGAAAACGATGGCTAAAATAAAATAAGTATCATTGACAGAAAGCATGCTGTCACCCACCAAATTTCTTGCCAACGAAGCCCTGCAGGCTCGGAGATGAAACCCCATGTGGAACATTCTCGTCCGGCGAGTGGAGGGCACGTTGTCAGCGTGGTGAGCACAAAGATCCTCAATGCGAGTCTCTCGATTCAACACTTGATGACTGAAAGTGCATGCACAAGGAAAGAGTAATGGAAAGATTGAGGAGGATGTTGTGAGGAAGGTTGAATTGAAGGAAGGAGGAAATATGGGATGCGCATTGCGCACGCTGAGTAGTGTGCGTTGGCGTTTGTCTTTGTCGTTTATCTTGTGTCCGTGGGAAAAGCCGATGTCGTTTTATAATATGATGAATCTATGTCACGAAGAATCTAGAATAAAACCTCAGTGGTCTGCACCATCGAAGTAACGATAGGACCCTACCTCTTCCGCACTATCAAGGCCGATATGCTCCTGATTCGATAGCTCAGCGCTGGTATCTGAAATCTGCTTCAAGACTTCCCCCATGTCGTTGCAGAGATCATCCAGGGTGGCAAGGGTATCGCCGACGGTAGGAACGGTTGCTATATCAGGCAACCATTAGGTTTGAGGTTCCACAGCGTTTAATATAAAAACAGACCAGAGAAGTGAGAATCCCTGTCGTCGCGCCGAGGAGTAAGTGTTATGGGAGACAACACCAAAGTAATCTCGGGTTCTAGAGTCACAAATGATGTTAGGAGCGACGAAGGACGGCAGAACAGAAGATACTCGCCTATGAAATTGCTCGCCGCACCGATGTATGTGACCATGCTTTTACGCAGAAGCCGCTGCTTTCTGCGAACGCTGACATCGAATTTCGACTCAGACGCGAAGCCTGTTCGAATTGAGAGAAAAGATGACAAGGAGAGGTTATCGGTCGTACCAAGTGCTCGAGTTTTAGCTGCCTGATGTTCTTGGTCAGTCTGGGGCATGACGCGGATGGAACCTCTTCCTTGTATCAGGTATCTTGTCGATAGGCTGAGAATTGCTGCATGAATTGCTCCAAAACCGGAGTG